GACTGAAGCGACCTAGCAGCAGCAGCAGCAGCAGAACTATAAGAAAATAGTGTTTCATTGTTTCTATTCATTAAATGCTAATAGCATGTGCATATGCTAACATAACTTGATAGTTCTATCTTACCTTTTAGATTCACCTTTTTAGAAAGTTCTGATTGAAACTAAAACAATACTTACCCTTCTGCCTTAACCCACCATGCTTTTTAGAAAATGGCTAACCTGAGGTTACTGACTCTGAGAACACAGGGATCAAATTTTAGGGACTCTTTCACACCTTAGCTGTATCAGAATTGTGTTCAAATTTGCCTCACTCTGGCCATCTCAGATGATTAGATAAATACAATAAGTAAGATCCATGGTCACAAAACACTCACCACAGTTAGCCTCATCTGATGCATCTGCACAGTCTGGATCCTCATCACAAACCCACAGCTTGGAAATGCAATGTTTGGTAGTTTTACATTGGAAGTAGTCCGGAGAACAGCTGTTTTCAGCTTAAAAGGAAAGCATCTATTAAAATGCAGCTTTGGACAAGAATAGGTGTTTTAATTTTTTTTAATTAAATAAATTTTAAGTTAATAATTGAAAATGTATCTTCTCTTAATAAGGTCCTGAAAGTGATAAGTTTTAACTTTTAATTATCTGTAATGTATTCCTATTATCTATTCCAGTAGAAATAAATAAAACATATTTCTTCAATGATGCATTTGATAAAAATAAGAGTTTTCAAAACCACCCTACCCTTGATTAATTGTCTTGAAACTAACTTAAAAACAAAGAATTCAGGTTTTTTCAAAATATGCTTTTTCAGATAAATTTAAGAATTTACACAGATACATTTTTATAAACAGGAAAAGACATAAATCAGAACATATTAGTGAATGAGAGAATAAAAAGTATAGAATTTATTAAAACCTCTAGTTGTGCTGAAGTTTTGAGAGAAGAGGCGAACATCTGACTGAAACTATAAACTGCTTCACAAATCTTCGTCAGTTTAATAGATCAGCTTCTAGAATGGCTAACCATAAAGAACTGGTACTGACTTTATTCCGAATGCACCATCTTAATCAAATTGCTGGATGACTGAACATTATTTACTGATAAAAGTTTTAGAGGAATAAAATAAAACTTCAGAAAGACAGAAATGTTGACAGCAGTTCTGCTGAAAGCTTGAACTTGACAGGTGCTTTGTGGTTCAGATCCTGTGTGTGTATGTGCCTACCTGCCTGTGGGCACATATGCATATGATGTAAACTGTTCTGCCTTCCATTTTATGTATATTTATTTTTCATGAGATATTGAAACAAGAGGTGAACAGAGTTAAACATAATTTACAATTGTTTTTTGAAGTACCTTGTTAAGATATTTTAGGAGGAGTATTATTTACAATTTTTAATAAGTCATTTTGTTCAGTTATTTTGCCCAGATTTTTGTTTCTTTTCATACACTCAATATGTTATTACTAGGAAAAAAGCAATCTCTAATAAAAATGGTGTTGATTTCAAGTGACTAATTACATCAACAGAAGAAAATTACATGTAGCTACTTAATATGGTAAAAAATTATTTTTAAAAAAAGCACTATAATCACTGATAATTTATTTTTGCTGCTTAAGGATGATGTGGATGGATGCATGTTTCCTTGTGTTTGTCATAATTTCCAGGTAGCTTTTTAGTAAAGATCCTCCCCATTTAAATTTTCTATTTAATTTTATATAGCGTTTCTTAAATAATCCATCCCTATAGAGATCTATGTGGAATTATTTTCCCATCATTGCAGTTATATTTTCTACACAGTATATATTTATGTTGAACAATAATAGTTTTTAGAGCAATTTCAGTTGAGAGACATAAGACAGAGCACTTAGAGGTGACTTACGACAGTCCCTCTCATCTTCCTCATCCCCACAGTCATCTTGCCCGTTACATCTGAGGTTTACTGGGATGCATTTCTGGTTCCTGGTACACTTGAACTGACCTGAGAGGCAGACATGTGTGTCTAAAAGATAAAAAGAATGAAAAATGTGCGCTAAAGCCTGTATCTGAATTTAAACCAGTGCAAACATAATCAGTTAAGATTTCAATTTATGTTCAATAGCTAAGAATATAATCACCTACCACAGTTGAGTTCATCAGAATTGTCCCCACAGTCATTCTCTCCATCACAGATGAAAGCAGGCAGAGCGCAGAGGCCAGTTCCACACTGAAATCGGCCAGGCTGACATTTAAATTCGGCTACAAGAGGAAACACACAAGCATCGTGGAATGACAACCTTGGCTCATGTGTCTTATAACAGAGCTTTTCTGGCATTCAACAGAAAATCTAGATAGATAGATCCATAATATATATATACAAATATATATTATATTACTACATTATACATATCCTACAGCACAATATGACTATCTCACAGCCAACTAGCTATCAGATTCAGAAGTGCAGTTAACCTTTGATCAACTCGGGTGGCCTCCAGATTGCATTTTATAAACTAACAGTGAGAACAAAGATATTAACAACACATAAATGTAAATATATATATGTTATTGAAAACATTTAAATAACTCTTCATTTCAAAGACATGGTATTGGGAGGTTAAATGGCAGAACGCAATTTATTGTAAATTTTTAAAAAGTTATTTCAATATCCCTTAAAAAAATTACTTCTCTTTGATTGCTTTTCTGTCTATAATGTGTTAACAGAGGAACATCTGTCCTCAATACATATTCCCCAGCATTATTTAAGGCAAATGCTTTCTATAACTACATATTTTAAATAAGAATTGTTGATATTTATTCCTATAATCTTACTAATATTTATATATTATAAATATTTTATATTTATAACTATATCTTATAACTAGTAAATATTTTTATATACAATACATGTGTTTTTATAATAAATATCTTCTAACGGATAAAGCAGTTTTTGCTATATTCTTTGGTTTTATAAAGCAATGATAACAACAAAGTAGGAACTATTGAATATTTAGTTTGTGTGAGGCACTGGGCTAGGATCTTTCTCACATACAGTTACTAATTGAATTTCATCATAACATCATCAACTTGGCATTACCCTGGTAGCTCAGACAGTAAGGAATCTGCCTGCAATGCTGGAGATCTGGGTTTGATCCTTAGTTTGGGAAGATCGCTAGGAGAAGCGGATGGCTACCCACTCCAGTATTCTTGCCTGGGAAATCCAATGGGCAGAGAACCCTGGCAGGCTACAGTCCATGGGTTGCAAAGAGTTGGACATGGCTGAGTGACTAACACTTTCTCATCCTAGCATCACCATGTTCATTTTATAAATGAGGGAAGTAAGTCTCATGATACTAATAATTCACCCAAGTATATAGAAGTTTCAAGTGCCAGAGGTGAAGTTTAAATCCATATCTGACTCTGAAGTCTTCTCACAGACTATGTTGCTTACAATAAACACTTACCTTTTGACTGATGGTCTTTATGTATATTAATAATCACTGACTTTGAGATTAATAATACATTGTTATTAGTTCAAATCAGTCAATCAAACATTAATAAATTATATTTTGAATTTTCTTTGGAAAATAAATTATGCCTAAGTAATTAAAATATTAATTAAAATTTCCTTAACATTAAAAAAAAATCTTAATATATGCATGGCTTCCATAGAAGCAAGTTCTTAAAGTGTGGGAAGTCATTCACCTTCAGTTTACAACATTTATTAATTAATCACACTAATGTTTAAACTGCTGCTGCTGCTGCTAAGTCGCTTCAGTCGTGCCCGACTCTGTGCGACCCCATAGACGGCAGCCCACCAGGCTCCCCCGTCCCTGGGATTCTCCAGGCAAGAACACTGGAGTGGGTTGCCATTTCCTTCTCCAATGCATGAAAGTGAAAAGTGAAAGTGAAGTCGCTCAGTCATGTCTGACTCTTAGCGACCCCACGGACTGCAGCCCACCAGGCTCCTCTGTCCATGGGATTTTCCAGGCAAGAGTCTTGGAGTGGGGTGCCATTGCCTTCTCCAAAATGTTTAAACTGGGTGATGCTTAATTTTTTCTAAACGGGCATTTCCTCTATTTCCTGTTGCTTCATATATGAGTTCCTTTAATATTTCTTTGCCCATAATTGCTGTTGTATTTTTCTTTATTTTATAACTTTGTGGTATATGATAGCAATTTTTAGATCAATTTCAGTTCAGAGCCAAAAGTAAGACAAAACAGAACATTTTGAAGTATATTATGACAGTCCCTTCTATCTTCATTCCCACATTTATCTTGCCCATTATAAATGAGGTTGTCCAAAACTTTTCCATAAATTGGGCTTAACTGTTACAGGAGTTTCACTGCCTGTTAAATAACTGAGAAGCCTATGTGACCTTTAAATTGGTCTCTAGAATGATCCTTGATATTTTGGAGTACTATAGGATGTATAACTACAAACTTATGATGCCAGAGAATTCTTGATGCCTCACTTTAACTTCATTTACATAAATAACATTATTGAAGTTTGAAAGTATGTGAACCTGTAATATAAGCTTCTCTGCTTTTTCAGGTGAAATTATTGGTATTGTTAGTGGTTCTTAATACCTGCAAATTTTGATAATGCAGCTACTCAGAAATGAATCCTATTAATAAGCATGCAACAGGCTCATGTATATCATTTTCCACCCCACCATAGCTCTCAAAATAAAGTGTCATGCCTACAGATGTTCAGTACTGTTAACCCGTCAACTCTAAGCAATAGATCATTTACTAAAAGATCACAGAGATAATATCACCAATAAAAACATGTAGTATTGGTATTTAACCAGGATAAGATTCATACAGAGACTCTTAGATTCCAGATGTCTCTTCAGTTCCTCTTGAAAGACATTAAAGTTATATTTGTTCACCAAATATTCTGAAAGTGGATAAATGTAAAAAGTTTGTTATACTAAATCTGTAGTTTATATTTCGTATCAGTATGGTTACAACATGAAATCTCATTCAAGATTAAAACAAGAGTTCAGGAGTTGTAATATATGAGAAGGGGTATCATTGGGTGCTATTGACTTAATCTGCAGGTTATTATGGGATAATTCTTTAAAAACACACTTCAGTAAAACTGGACCGGAAAGTTCCCCTTAATATGAGAACTAAACTAACAATTGTGCATTTCTGCAAATTACAAAAATAAGTTGTATTTATTTTACTATATTACAGGAGAGTTTACTTTACTGTGAGAAAATTAATATATTTCAATATGTAAAGCTCAATCTCAATCTCAACCATAATTCCTTGTTCCTTGATTCTTGATTCTTTTTAATTCAAAAACTTAAAAAAGTGATTCATACATAATTGTATACCTATGCCACATAGATACTTCTCTTCATATGTTGTCCATCATAGTGAAAACAAAAACTATATTTAAAAAAATCAAAGGGTAATGAACTTTTCAGAAAAAGAAAAATAATAATAGAAAAACAATGACTTTTTTCCTTCTCACTGAAGATATTATTTACTGCTTGTAAACATATAAATGGAATATGTGACAAAGTCTTCAAATGTTTGATACACTTGGTAGTGACCAGAGAGATGGAATATAGCTCATTCAAGTAACCATCTAGAGGCCTTAACTTCAAAACAGTTTTGTAATTATTTGGTGGAGAGAAAATATAGCAGAAAATATCTAGCTTTCACTAAGACAAAGCATTGTCTTTCTTTAGTGCAGGGATGTTGATCTTGAACTCAACTGTCAAGACCAAATCATGGCAACAATCCACTGGGATGTTGAGGGAATTATCATGACTGACTGCAAGCATCTTCAACCTGACAGGACAGTATTGGAGTGCCCTGTGGTGTGAACTAAAAAAGGCTCTCAAGGAAAAGTCCCCTGATTGTCTATTAAAAGCTAGGTTACCAAATATATATAAAAATAAATTAATTAATAAAAAGAACCTAACCAAGCCAATGATCGTCAAATGTCACGATATAATTGGTAGCCACTTTAAGGCAACTATTAAGAGCACTATAAATTGCCTAAGAGACAACTAATGACTTATATTGGAAAAAATCTGACTTTTACAGACTTTACAGTATTTTAATACTGACAGGAAAGTTGAAGGGCTGTGACCTTTTAAGGCAAGATTTCAGTCATTGAGTGGCATTCTGAAAACCTGGCTATTTTTGTTGTAATTTAACTATATATAAAGTCAAAATCATGATGATTTTTACTTGGTTGATCATTACATGAAGAGTTTAGTTATTCTACAAGTTAAAAAAAAAATCAAGAATGTGAAAACTAACACAAATCGCTGATGGTGTCACTATAAATGTAATAATGATCAGAGACATACACAAGATAATACCAGAATTTTTGTTGTATTTTTAACTAGGGACATTTAAAACCTTTCTATTCCAATTTTGCAAAACTATCAGAAGCCAGAACTTAAGATCTTGCTTTTGTTTTCTAGCTGGGGGAATTTAAGGAGCTCTAAATTCTAAATTCCTACATCTGCCAGTGTACTCACGGCAGTCATCTGGTTCATCGGATCCATCACCACAGTCATCCACGGTGTCACATTTCCACCAGAATGGAATACATTTATCAGTTTTGCAGCGAAACTTTGAGAAATAGAAAAAAATAAAGATTAGAGAACTCAACTCATATATAATGGATATTTTAAAAACTCACCAGGACACAGCAGCCTAGCCTACCCTCCAGCTGAACTGTAATAGTCTTAGAGCATTCCACCATAGGCAATAAATGCACAGCAAGAGCAAAAAGATCAGTGAGGAAAGCACATTGTTCAAGAAAACCTCCTGAGATTTCCTAAGCACAGACATGTTCCTGAATTTACATATTGTCTATGGATGCTTTTCACCACTACAACAGTTTAGTAACTACTACAGTGACCATGTGATTCACAAAGCCTAAAATAGTTATTTTCTGACCCTCTACAGAAAGAAGTTTACTGAACACTGAATATGGCTAAAAATCATCAGAGATACCAGGAAGAGGTATTGAGTTGAATTCATTTTGCTAATTTGAATTAATTTAACTAATTTAATTTAGCAAATTTAATTAATTTGAAACGCTGTTCCTACTAGCTTCTCTACTGGTCAACTATACACAGTGACCAAGAAAACTCAGCCAACTTACTCCTTAGTGATATCAGACCACAATTTTGTCCTTTTGTCAGCAACATTCAGTTACAGTGTATACTCATAAGATAGAAGAAACTAAAGAAAATCACATTTTCCATATAGAAAGCACATGCATCATAAATAGTTGCCATGAAAAAAGTCAATACACTTAGTAGATTTATTCTAGCACTTCAAATTTTTCCTTCTTCTGAAATTGAAAATATTAAGATATTTTATAAAATTTATTCCTTCTCAAAAAGAAAACAAATTTTATTGTAATTCCCATGTGAGTGACTAAATGCAAGGTGGCATTTATCTTAGCATGCTGCATGCCAGACAGATTTGTAACACAGAAATATATAACCTAGGTTCAATTTTCTCTAATGAAAGTGGATTAGCAAGTTAAAGTTTGCTCATTTTAAATACTGTTACTGTCTTTAAGTAAAGCAGAATTTGATGTAAGCCTTTACTGAAACTGTCTGGATATTCTGGAGCTGATTCATGGATATTCACTGGATATCCATGATGCCTATAAACATATATAAGTAAAGAATTTGCCTGCAATGCAAGAAACCCGGCTTCAATCCCTAGATCGGGAAGATCTCTTGGAAAGGGGAATGGTAACCCACTGCTGTATTCTTGCCTGGAGAGTCCTGTGGACAGAGGAACCTGATGGGTTATAGTCCATGGGATTGCAAAGAGTTGGACACAACTGAGTGATTAACACGCACATACATATATTATTACTATATATATTAATGAAAGAGTAAGTTCCCCCCACCCGCTGGCAATATAAGAGGGAACAGAGCACTGAATCCAAGTGAAAATCTCCCAGTTCAACTGAGTTTCCCATATTTACTTAGCCTGTGGTCATGTTTCTTGTGGTTTCCATAAAATACCAGAGGAAGAATATTACTATTATAGATAGTGACTGCTGGGGATATAAGGCTAACTCCAAAACCAATTGCCCTGAACAGTAAACATTTCCAGTCATTGCAGTATATCAAAGTACATTAGTAAGATAATTTCAAGTCTCTTGAGTATATTCCAAGCCCCTCTAATCAAGATTTAAAAAATACTTAAATGCATCTTTTTAATTTTACAAAATATTTCTGGTTTAAATATAAACACCCACTGTTGGAATGATATACAACATGATGATTATGCTCACCATTTCATTTTTAATAAGGACATAAAAAGGTTCTGAGTTAAGGGAAGGCCAGGCTAAAATATATTTATTATTATTTCTTATGCTAAACTACATCATTTTAATCATTAGTCTCAGGGAAGATTTCTTCTATTTTGTGTCTGGGTTTTTTTTCATACTTAAATATAGTTACTTTAAAAAGATAAATGCTAAATATAAATATGAAACATTCTTCATGGTAAATGCTCTCCAAGACTAATATCTTCATAAAATTAATTGCAGAATGCCAATTATGCACAAGAAGAAGATATAAAAAATCTAAATGTTCCTACTAAAATGGATACATGGATAAAATGTAATTACTACATGTAGTGAAATTTACTCAAAATAGGAAATGTCCCCACTAAAAATAAGTAAATTCATTTAAATTTATTAAAAATGTTCTAATTAAAAAGATTTAAATATAATATTTGAAGTGATTTATACTAGAAGAATGGGACCTAATTTTTATTTTTTACCAGGTTTTCATATGTTCATTTTAAATCCTAACAGAATTCTTATTGGTGTGATTTGCCTATTTTATTTTTTTTAAATCAATGATATTTGGGCATGTATAATTGGCTGAAGCCACTCAATGATAACAAATCAAAGTCCTTTAGTAAGATACATATAAAATGCAATATTTTTATTAAAATGCTTCTGATATGATTCTGAAGTACACAAATTATCTGCTTCATTTGAAAATCTGCCTCACTAAATATGGTGTTTTTATGAATTGATTCTTCTGAAAGAAGTATGCAGTATATCTTTTTTTCCTCCCATTATATCAGAAAAGAATCGATGATAAAATGACTGTGTAAATCACAAGACTTATATGGACAGTCACTTACTGACAGTTCAGCTGAAATTTTACTCTTCATTAACTTTTTTCTCGAAAATGAGACAAAGTGATAACTGTTTTATTCAGGAAGTACTGAAAACAAAGATATCTGATCCATGATGTTCTGTTGTCACTGTTCAGACTTACTATTGTTGGTTTTTCAAATTCATGCAAAACGTTATTGGGAGTATTTGAAAAATTATAAATATCTTAGTCATATAATCACTGATGCCAAACTGAGAAGTACTTTAGTTATATGAACAATACTTTTCTAGGTTCATTTATGTTTTCATCAAACTGACTAATCAGACTTTTTGCTATTGAGTATATATAATTTTAGGCTTTGCTATCTTAGTAATTTGAACATCACCAACTCAATGGACATGAGTTTGAGCAAGCTCCAGGAGTTTGTGATGGACAGGGAAGCCTGGTGTGCTGCAGGTCCATGGAGTCACAAAGAGTCGGACACGGCTGAGTGACTGAACTGAACTGAATTTGAAACATCTAACTCCTTTTCTGACTACAGCAAAGCTCAGGTTTTACTATGTATGTTTTGCTGTTGAAGATTTTCATCTGTGTGTCAAGCATCCTTTGGCTTTATTTTCAGTTGGCTAAGAAGGCTCACCACATTGTAAGGGGCTTAAGCAGGCATCATTCCTCCTAAGTCACCTACAACCTCAGTGCTGGGCCTCAATAGAGAGACTCTGATTTGCTCCAAATCAAGAGAATAGAGGTTATTTCAGAAGAATCCAGAGGTTAAACTGAAAATGTGTCCAAACTAAGCAAAATTAATGAAATTTATATTTAATTTTTTTCTTTAAAGATGTGACTTCTTTCTTACATTTTACCTCTAGGCTGCTTATTTTATCTCTCATAGTGACAAATTTCTAGTTCTATAAAAGTAATGAACTTTGCTTATGTAAGATTATAATTAAAGTGACAGATTATTTTGCAAATAAAAGAGAGACTGTGACATATGTTTTCAACTAGCTTCCTGATGGCAGCTCACACTAAGTGCACACACACTCAAGTATATTCCAGTTGTACTGTAGGGCTAAGGCAAGAACAACAACACTTACTTTTCCCATGTAATCTTTATAACACATGCCTGGAAATATCATCATTCCCATTTAAAAGATGAAAATACTGAGTCTTCAAGAAGTTAAGTAACAAAGCCAAGATATTAAATAATTCAGCTTACTTAAAGCAGTCAGGGTTTTCATCATATTGAGTCTGGCTTCAGAATCTGTCCCCTAAACCACTATACATACTGCTGTATGCAGTATGTAGTTCATTTGTATAGTTCTTTAAAGGATGATCCTCATAGTCATAACTTAAGAGGCAAGTTGAGCTAGGATTAGCTTCTCTTTGAAAATAAGCACACCCTAAGAGAAATTCAGTCTTTTGCCATAATGCCACTGCCACTGCTAGAATTGGAAAACAAACACATTCAAAAGACAGAATCCTAAGAATAAATTTAGTCACTTTTAAAAGGAAATCACATGATGATGTTTTTGGCAATTTTATCTTAAACAAGATAGTTACTCAAATATTAAAATCAAATGTTATAATACCATATGACTTTTCTTCAAATTTTGGAAGTAAAACAGCTAAGTCTATGTAACTGCCATTAAGTAGAAAAAATAACTTCTGAAATATACTGAAAAATATTATATTTTGAAGCAAAAGATTTCAGAAGGAAGTTATTTAGATCATACAATTTTAAAATAAAAATATATGGAAAATACTTTAAAAACTATCTTTTCCATACCACTTACTCTGTGGAATGAGACAGGGGTAAAGATGGTGACACAGAGCAGATTACCTAGGAAATTCTGTTTTTGTTTGTTTTGTTTGTTTGTTTAAACTGCATATATCTTATCCTTAACTTCATGTCTCAATCACCCTGGCATCTTGGAATAGGTCAAATCTCCTCTGATGATTCTGCTTTGAGTGGACATTCTCTTATCTTCACTCATGATTTGCATCATTATTCTATGTAGGTCAGTGTAAGAATGGTCTCCATATTTTTTTTTGTCTTCCAATTGAACTTTATTTGTATTTCCTAAAGTCCTATTTTAACAATATGCACCAAATTGTTTTTCCTTTACTCTGAGGCTCTCTCTATAATGTATGAAATGTTTATCTGATGTTATACCAAACCAAAATAATTGATGTTTCAAAACTGGTTTAAGTAAACAAAACTCAGGCAGAACCTTTATAACAATTTCCTCAAACATGCCATGAACTGATTTCTAGAACTCCACTCACCTGACTGGCTGTGCAGTTGGATAAGCAAGTCCTGTTATCAGCCGCAAGATAGAAGTTGGTGGGACATGCGCAGGTGTGACTCTTTCCAGGAGCTAAAAGGCACAAATGACTGCAACCTCCATTATTTATCATACAGAGGTGTTTGGAGACTACAGGTAAGAAAGAGACAAAAAAACATGATAATCAAGATCGATAATATAATATGCAATTAGGGATAAGACATTTGAGCTTCATAACATGTATTTGAATAGCATGTCATAATCAAGTACTCATCAAGATTATAAATAAAATTTTATTTTGTTACCAATTCTACTCATAACCCTATGATATTTATTTTACCATTAAATAATTTTAAGAATGCATTTCTACAATAGTGAGTATCTTAGTAGGAAAAAAGTGTCCATCAGAAAAATAAACAGAGACTAGAAGTATTTTGGATGACTATATACATAGGATTAGAAATATAAATGCAAAATAAAATAATGAAATGATGATTTACATCTGACAGTACAGTAGCTTTCTTTTCTAAGGCAAATGCATGTTTTCAGCAAAATAATCAAAACTTTATTCCATATGGCCTGACAGAATTCCTACTAGACATATGCTTGATACAGTTCTCATTTTTGGATCCCCAGAACTACTTAAATATAGTTTCTTTCACCTAGCACTCTAGAAACTGGAATCCTATAACCATTTTGTAAATAAATGATTTCAAGAATGCAGTATTCACTTCTCCAGCTATCTGTACTCATGCCATTTAGCTTAATATGATTTCAACAAATCAACAACTCCTTGCAGTTTTATTGATCTTGAAACCATATCCCTTAACAGCAGTTTTTTATATCAGCTGAATGCATTCTATACAATTATTCTAAGCAATGAAATCTAATAATCTTCCTCAGAAATAAATTTATGCTTAACCCTAAAGGAAACAAAAAATGGAATGTTACTAAAAGATGTTGATGCATTTATGGAAATCATGGAAAGAATAATTACCATCAGGTTGTCTATAAGAATGATACACCTGGATATCTGTGATGGCATGCCATGAGTTAATCAGTGAGAGTCTGTCTGCTCCCGAGGTTTTATGGGCACGGCTGAGTGACTTGGTTTTCCCATCAGTCCAGTAGATGTAGTCTTCAAACAATGTTAGTGCAATCACCCCTGGAATATCTTGATTAGGGACTGTAATAGGAGATGGTAAGATTAATGTTCAGTCTTGGAAGACTGCCAGTTAAAATATTCAATACTACATGGGCTGACAGATACAACTGCGACAGAACTTCATGTGAATAATTGCTGTGACAACCTGTCAGGCCGGCAAGGTTCTTTATTACCAGTTAAGAGAATGCAGGATCTAGTGCAGGAGGTTGCTTTGCTCAGGTTTAGATTGGTTCAACCACTGGGAAGAAAATGAATTCGGTCCTGCTCAAAAGTAAAGACTGCTTCACCAGAAACAAATAACATCCAACTTTTAAAAACTACATATATGTATATCTCCATCCAGTTGTTTTTAACTAAAATCCTCCTTAAAGTCACAGGTCACTGTACTGCTTTCTCCCACTTTTAAACGGACGAAATTATATATCCGGGATGAAACATCCATCTACCTGGAGACAGAGTGACTATGAGACTACTATTAACCATTTTAGTCATTGAGGTTTTATGACTATTTTTACTTGCAAAATAAGCTGGGATCAGGATGGAGAAATATAAATGTGATAAATAACAATGTATCATGCAGATTTAACTACCATAAACCTGTTTAGTTGCAGATTAAAATTGTTTTATAGTTATATGTTCATGACACAACTGGGTTTAAATGTAAATAGTAGATTGAGGCATCACAAAAGTAAATTTTTCATTCAAGAGATTCCAGGGTCCTATCAGGTAAATAAGATACAATAAATTTGGTGGTTTGGAGTTAAATCATTTTAAAATGTGATAGAGGTTTCTTCAATATTTTTTACAAAAAGCAATAAATAAAGAAAATGGAAATTCCCTAATTGGCACAAACAGTCCAAAATATTTCTCAATATAAATTTTCAGATCTACTTTTAGAAATCCTGCAACATGTTCATTAATGAAAAAAGGTGCTATCTAGGTAATATGCACTTTTTTATAGATTAGATTTTAATGACAGAATTAATGTTTGATATTCAACAGTCACTGAAAAACTAAAAGATTTAAAATATAATTCACTTTTTTCCAGGAGGTGTATAGTCTTACTTTTTAAATGCTGGGTAAATTTATATTATTAACTAGAAGCAGAAATTTTGATCTAATAACTTCCTATTTTTACTCAAGTGGGCCAAATATGGTCAGAGAATTCACTATGACTAAGAAAATGTAGAAACAAAAGAAATAAGACTCAGTGACTACTATAAATAATGTAGTGTCTAGTCAGAAGTCCATCTAAGAACAGACTATGCATATGAAGGATGTAAAGAAATTAAGAAAAATTCAGATGTGCACACTTTGATCAGAAACTCAAACTGAATTATCCATGTAACTACCAGATGTGGAGCCCATTGACACACTGATAAGTAGAACTGGATAAAGAAAGATGAACAGTAGGACATTTTACCAAAATGAATTATGTCTCAGTTGTTTATATAAGCTATGACCATTCTCCCCCTTCAGCTATACAAGTTCATTTCATAAAGACAAACAAGTATGGCAAAATGTTAATAATTGGATGACTCTTGGTGATATGTGATCATCAAAACAATTTTTCAATAAATGTGTTTGTTTGAAATTTTCCAAAATAAAATAAACATTTTCAGAAAAAAATAAAAGTCTCAGAAATATTCAACTCAGATTTCCTTAGATGACAAGAAAGTAATTACATCATTAATTAGGGGTTCAAAAATTAATCACCACTTTAAAACAATCTCAGTCCACCAGAGATTTGATTAACTTCTATACAAAAAGTGAAATTATTGTAGGAACTTATCTTTTAGCATCTCAAAAGTAGCATAGCCTGTTGAAATATTCAATAAGTAACTAAAATTGACATTTATTCAGCCCATGGGTGCCAGAAAATAGGCCCTTGGTTCTCAATGAGTATAGGAGGCAATTCCGGTCCCAGAGGGAAGAGTTATCAGGCCCAAGCATCAATAGTTCTGAGACTGAGAAACCCTGTAGAAAGATTTCAACTTTGTACACCTATTCATTTAATGCTCAAAACAACTCCATCATGAAATAGTTGACCTCTCTTTAAGATAAAAAAGCAAAGATAAAATCTGGAAAACAAGTAATTTGACCAGAGAGGATGAGGGAAAAAAAAACTAGTAAATGAAGATATTGGTATTTGAATCCAATTCAGATTGCTGACTTTTGAGTTCTTTGCCACTTTAGCTACTAGCCATCACTTAGAGAAAGCCATCCTAGTGAGGTAAAGTGTGGTTGTGAACTGGATTGTGTCCTTTCAAAATTCATATGTTGAAACCCTAGACCTCAATATCCCTGTATTTAAAGATAGGGCCTTTAAATAAGTAAGGGAGGTTAAATGAAGCCCCTATGAGTGGGACCTTAATTCAATATTACAGTGTTCTTATAAGAAGACAGCAACACCAGGGGTGTGCACATACTGAGAAAAGGCCACGTGAAAGCACAGTAGGAAAACAGTTAAACACAAGCCAAAGGGAGTGGCCTCAGGAGAAACCAAGCCTGCCAACATCTTGATCTGGGACTCCCAACCTCCAGAACTATGAGAAAATATACTTCTGTGGTTTAATCCTCCAAGTCTATGGCAGCCTTAGAAAACTAACACAAGCATTTAAAACAATGGGACTAATTTCTTAAGCTCCATGTGAAAATCATTTTATTTAATTACTTGAAATCAGTTCCATTAATGTCATTTTCAGACATGGGGCAATTTAAGGTAAGGGCAAGTTTGCTACCTCTAAGTATGCAGTGACTGTCCACCAGAAACCCTGTTATCAGATAGTCATATAAGTAAATAGAGATCAGAAAGATGAACTCATTTCAGAGAAGAATGGCACATAGCTGAATGTGCAAAGCACATAGAGAAGTCAGGTCAAAGTGAAGAAAATTAGTCCATTTGCCCAGTGACCATCTGTTTGATTCAATTCCTTGTGTGATATTTACAAAGAATAGGGCTATCACTAGTGGCTTTAAAAGCTCACTTCAGGCCTATTGATTGGATATACATGCTTATTTCGCAAACCACAAGCATCAAACACAGCCATCAGAGTCTCTCTTCTAGAGAAAATAAATGAAGTAAAAACACTAACTATGAAATCCAGTCTCACACCTCTCTAACAATATAGTGGCTCCAACAAGCTACTGAAAGATAGTGATGTGTTCCCTAGTACCACAAACAAAGCCAATAAAAATTAAGATAAACAAAAGAGAGCAAAACAAACAAAAACCTTTACATGTTGCATTTTCCAGGGTTTGGCTCATAACTTGGCAGTATGTCTTATTTTCTTATTTAGAACCTAAAATTTCTTCACAAGAGTTATTTGATAAATTTTCTGTGAAAAAATTCCTATTTATTAACTGATAAACGATAAGCATAAATGAATGAATGCTATGCTTATTTTTCCATCAATTCATGGAGAGTTCAGACTACACTGGGAGTAAATAAGGTATTCTGAGCCTTATATACTTTGTTATGAGAAGCATTCCTGATTTAGAATGAGGAAAGTAAAATTGCTTATTTTGGGTTGTATCTCTATTTACTTATTTTTACCTTATAGATATGTATGTACATGTGTACATATGTATGCGTGTGTACCTACAACATATCTGTAATATATATGGAAGTGTGTGTTAGTCGCTCAGCTGTGTCTCACTCTTTGCATCCCCATGGACTGCAGCCCACCAGGCTCCTCTGTCCATGGAATTCTGCACAAAAGAATACTGTAGTAGGTAGTGATTCCCTTCTCCAGGGAATCTTCCTGACCCAGGGATTGAACCCAGGTCTCCTGTATTGCCGGCAAGCTCTTTACCATCAAACCACCAGGGAAGCCTACAATATATTTGCATAGTATATCATATATGTATTTTATATACATATACATAATACAGAGCAACAAAAAGATGTCTTGTAATGTAATTTGGTAGTTAGTGGAGCTGACAAAATAAACTATATATATATATAATATAAATATGAAATGTGATGTTGTGAGGGAAACATTTAACAAACAAATTCTTACTAAGATATCATTGATTTTATGAAAAAAGTAGTCAATGTTTTCTCAAAATGATAATGGTTATCCTTTCTAAGAGAAAAATAATATGCCCCCCTTTCAAACATGACTGCCTTTGTTTAATTAAAAGAAAAGTACAAAAAATAAATGCAAAGAAACTTTTATTTTACAGGTAGACACACAAAAGACAGAAGAAAAACAGAAGTGTTGCATGGGCTGCAGTTTAACAGGTACCTATTATATATTTAAAAAACTATTTTAAAGCTGCTTTCTGTAGTTAGGCCTCTATTCTGTGTAACAGCATTATTTATTGTACTGTTCCAGCATTCCACTCAAGCACTAGGCTCCTAATTTTTATTTCATAGACTACATGTATCAGGAGAAAGAAGTTGATATTTGGCAAAAAATAAATCAAAGAAATATTCCTTTGTGGAGTTTTTTCCTGTTAGTCTAGTTGGATGCAATCCTGATTAGCTTCCTAGTAATTACAATAAACAGAAAAATTGAAAGTACAGAATATGTTTTCAGCTTAACTGTTGCCTCACAGTTAGAGGTACTCTATTATAATACTCTTGATTATTCATTTTTTGAATATTATTTATCATGTTAAATAATTACATTCCTGGATAATACCAATCTAATTTTATATTTTGGACTAACCTAGTTTAAATACTTAAGAACAATATGAACCAATAACACATAACTCATCTTTGGTTGATTTAAAATCTCATAGTTGGTGTTTGGAGTAAGATACTGCATTGGAATAATGGCAGATTCAGATCAACCCTGAATATTTATTGGAAGGACTTATGCTGAAGCTCCAATACTTTGACCACTTGATGTGAAAAGCCAACTCCCTGGAAAAGACCCTGATGCTGGGAAAATTGAGGACAAGAGAAGGGGACAAGAGAGGTGACATGGTTGGATGGCATCAACAACTCAATGGACATGAGTTTGAGTAAACTCTGGGAGATAGTGAAGGACAGGGAAGCCAGGCATGCTGCA